TTGAACGTTGGGCCTTGCGAAGTTCGATATCAATTGAATGATCGCGATACACGCGCGTACATACGCAAAATCTGTGTTTTAAGTCGCCCGTAGCGAAATTTTTGAGTACTCAAACGTAAACCATATGTCTATTTTTAGCTATCTTTAAATTATACGTTATATTAAAACGTGTTTGCAAAAATGTCAATGCTACGCCTTATTCAAAGCACTGCCATTTTTCTATTTCTTGATATTTTGCATATTTTCTGGTTCGAAATTCTATTTAAATTAATAATTTCGTTGACTTTTTTATTCGAGGCTATATCTTTAAAATTATTACGTATTTTGGTATGAAAAGATCTAAGTAACTTGGTAAGATATCAATTTTGTCCAGATTGAAAATCATTATCTTAAAGTAACGAATATAGTAATGAAACTTAGTATTGTCGCTAGCATTATTCAAGAAACCGTTCGTCACAGATCACGATTCATTTGTAATAATGTTTAATAAATGTGTTAAATAGATCAACTGAACAATGTGTCACGCATAATGTGAAACTGGCATATAATTCATAATTCAGTTGCTCGTATGGTCGTAAAATATAAAATCATCGCCACACATAAATGACGCGTGGTAGCGAACGTGTGAATGGTGCACTTGCTATATTTGCTCAGACGTTTACCACAAGATTAACGATTTTAGCAATCCATTTGTTATTTACGTATTGAGAATGTTAATGAAATTTTTTGCAATATGACGTAATTCGGAAAGATCAAACGAATTATTGCTCACCTTAAGCAAATATTTCGTGGAACTCGATTCAGCGTTTAGCACGATTCTCGATTCACGATTCTTGATTCTCGATTAATCGAAACGTCAAAAATTTTAATTCTTCCATCTGTAGCTACGAGGCCGTATAAACATAAGCATGAAATGTATACATTGTCGTTTACAAAATAATACAAATATGTAGGAAAGTTGCACCTTGAATGCTTGTTTCTGATGTAACATAAAATAAATAAAATATTTTCTGATGAATAAAAATTAATTTGTTCAGAATTTTTAAAGAGATAAAAATTGATGAGCTGTTTCATATTCGAAGAACAAAAGTTTCTGATAAATGCATAATTAATTACTTGCTAATGAAAAATAATATGCAATTAAGTCTCGTTAGAACTTTTGTTTTTTATCTAGTGCAATCACGTTGCTTCTAATATTTACTAACGTTGCTACGAACTATATATACCGACTCCGTTTTTTTAATAGCTACTCCGAAAACGATTTCGGGTGGTAGCCATGGCCTAGTAGCGCGAATCAAGGTCCTCGACGATGGGGCTCTGACGTAATTTTACGTGACTCGAAAGTGTGCACGCTGAATTGACGAATTATGGCACGTATGAACAAATCACAGATGTCGAACAGTACAGTAATCAGTGATACAATAAGCTTTGTGTATAGAATTTCTTAGCAGCATAACAAATTTTAATAAGCAATGTACAGGTAATCTTTTTAATTGATCGTCTTAAAAATACATGTTGGATACCTGCTGAAACGAAATATTAAAAATGTCTCAGACTATATAGAGTTAAGAGGGAAATCGACCCTTTTATCCGAACCGCCCTTTCTATTTAAGTGCCTATAGATCGAACACGAGAAAGAATATAAAAAAAAATCATTTTTGTTAATTTTTATAAAAAAAAAGGAGACGAATTAATACAATAATAACGTCAACGCGTATAAAAATAAAAATAAAAGTACGAATTTTGTTACACCTATGTGTGCACGTTACTACCTTTTTGGCAGTACCAATAAACTATTTCTTCGTTAAATAAAATAAGATGACGCAAAAGACAGGAAATTATATATAATTAAATTGCTACAAAGTCTTCAAAATATATTAATTTCAATTATACAAGTATACAATTTGTCAATTGATAAGGGGAAATATCTAATTAACGTATAATTACTGTTTTATATAAAGTTCAAAATGATAACTCTTGTAATATTGTGTTAATAAAAATACGGTGTAATTATTATCTTCGAATTATACACTAAATAAACATTATTGTAAAAAGTTTGTAACGATGAAAATATTTCATGCGAACGTTTTCGTTATATGAAACAACATTTCAAACTGTTTTGAACAAGAACTTATTCTAATACAGTAGCGACTGTAATATATTATTTATCTTATCGCAATGTGTTTAAATAGTTTTCAAAAACATAAATAGTCATTAAAAACGTTTAAATAAAAAAGTTTTTTTTATGCGCTACCTACTATCTGAATGCGCAGAACAATACGTATTTTTAAATATAATAAATATATTACATAGTTCAATGATGTTTCATTTTTATTCTCGATCTTCAAGAACGCACCGTTATTATAACAGAGGATGTTAATGACGTCAACTAGTTAGAACAAGGCTCGATTAATTGAAACCTGTACAAGTATTTCATCGACTTGAATAGAAACTTCATTGAGCGTATTTAGCATGCATTAAGCAAATTAAATCTTTACATTACTTACTAATAAAAAAGTAATCTACAAAAGCTATTCAAATCGTTATTGACCTTAATTAACGTACCTTATATACAAGTTTATGGTAACTATAAAAAAATTATAGAGCGTATCATGAAAATACACGCACGTATACAACGAAAGACCTCGATACACGACATATAAATTAAACTGAAAATGTCGAAGTAACGTTACGATTCTAGCAAGACACAGCTCATTTGGTATTTTGTTTATGGAATATGCTACGAATCTGATTACGTATGTAATAATTGTACAACTTTTACTGAGAATACCAGCCGCACGAATGTTGTAAAAGAAATTCTATGAAATTCATACGAGGAATAATTTACTGCGAACTACAGGATTATTTGAATTCGTCGACTGGTAAAGGAGACCAGACATACAAGAGAAATAAAATTCAACTCCGATTTCTTATCTACTCTCAAAGTAAATGAAAACTGCATCGACGGGAGTTTTTCCAGGTGAGTCGACCGCTATCCGTGAGAAGACAGCGTGTTCACCGCTCGTTTGATTTCCCTCGGCACTTAAATTACGAGTCATACTACGGAATTGTCACGGATGGATGGACAAATACACCATTAGAAACTGTATACAAGTCCTGTTACTTCTGCGTCAATCATATTCATTGATTGCCATTGTTATTAGATGCGCAAGAGTAGAGACGTAACAATTAGTTATGGGATTGATACAACTAGACATCGATAATATTCGAGCAATTCAATACCGAAGTATTGAAAATACATTAAAATTTCAGATTTCTGGTATTAATATTCGATGTCGATACTTTCGTAACGAATCTTGATTAATATCGATACTTTAACGAATTTTTTTTCGCAAAGCTCACAAAGGAATGTTAAAGAAAATATGCGACCACACATTTAACAGAAATATTTATTTTTCATTACACTATTATCGATATAGAAATAGCAATTTAAGATATAAAAGTCTGGCAGACACGAAGATATTAATGGGGGAATCATCAAATGGGTATCGATACTTTTACAAAGTTCCGAATATGTATCGATACTTTCATCGATTCTATTCGTACCTATACATTCGATAGTACTTGTTATCGAATCATAACTCGCGAACTGATATCGGTAGTACCGACTCGGTATCAGTTCTATCACTCGTGAATTTCTTACGATACCGTGGGGACCGAAAACCAGACACGCAACTCCTAGCGTCGTCATTCTACCATATGTGAATATTAAATTACGGAATTTCAGCGAACCTCGAGTTTTCTAATCTACCTTTCTCGAGATAAACTTTATAAAAAATGCTTACTCGTCCCTCTCGATGTAATAATTGTGTAACATGAATCCGGAGTAATGCGCCATACGAAAACAAGAAACACGTGACGAATGTGTAAAATAAATACAGTATTGCTATGCAAACCTTACGATGCAACGCTATAGTAAATGTGCCCTCAATAATAATAATTGAAACGTTTGTTTTAGCCGCAAAATACTACATTTTTAGAACGCCAGAAATTGAAATAGCGCACTTTAATAACGAAACCCTCGTATCTATTGTTGTCGTTTAAAAAGTATGTATTTGTAATGCCCGTAGCGGAATACGCTTAACAAAATGCAAATTGCAAATACAGCTTAAACCACTACGCATTTACTTTGGATAATATTACAAACAAAAAACCCATTAACGTTTAACAGTTTAAAGTTTCAAAATGCCAATTTTATATTGAAGTTATCAAATTACCACGTTTATATTTTTACAGTTTTCGGTCTGGTAGAATATATTTAAAAAAATAAAGATCCGATATTTGTTTAGATTATTACCTTAAAGTAATTATTAGTACTATACAATTTCTTCAGAGTTTTTGAAAAGGTATAAAAGATTGAAAAAGTAGCATACTCGTATGATCAATATATTTTATTCACTAAATAGATACTATATACAATTCTAAATACTTTCACACATATGAAATAATTAAATTCAATTAATATGAAAACATCTTACCTTTGATAAGTGAGAATTCTTAACCAATCGCGTGATAGGTTATCCCCCACCCCTCATAAAATTTACTCAAGAATCGAATGGCAAACACACTTACGATTTAAATCAAGACAAATGTCTATATATTTACACAAATACAAAATATGACAATATCTTCTCACTTCCTCATCAAGCTTCTGAAAACCACTTGTGATTTTTAAATAAAGTAAAACTTACACAAACACAATTTCATGCATACAAGATATATGTATATCATCCACTATAAATTTTCATGACTGATAAACCACTCTTGTATACTCTGGGAATAAAGCAAAGTAGACGCCAACGTTCGTACACACATACAGGATTTTCTAATAGAATTCTTGAATTTTGTGAACTCGAGGAATCCTAAAATATCGATAAATGCAACAAAAGAAATGAAACTGGATTATCAAATTTTGACTTGTAGCAATACCCCCTCCCCTACAATGAAAAATGAAATTAATATGAGAAAAATTCTCTTACTTGTTTGCCAGCGCGAGGTAACGTCTCCACGTTGGTACCACCGACGACAGGCGCTTTTTCCGGTCCTCCATTCTGCTGGCTGACATTTATGTTGGCATTAACATTCGCGTGTACATTGGCGTTAACATTGTTCGCATTGTCCGTAACGTTTGTGTTCGTGTTTCCAACATCGGTAGCCCCACCAGTGCCAGTTCCACCCCCGCACTTTCCTTCTTCACCCGTCATCACTTCGACCTCACCCTCCGCCGGTGTTCTATCTTGTCTCACCCTTTCGCGTTCCGCGCTTCGAGCCTTCCTTCCGTTTACTGATTACCAATGTCGGTCCTCTGGCCAGAATCCGGATATCTGCTCGAACGAGACGACGAATCGTCGATCAGGAGAAACGGGTCAATCGAGGGATTGTGCTCAGCCTACCCAACGATTCTCTCCAATCTATACTAATACTTTTATGACCTTGCAACGAGAATTCTGTATTCGATTTTACACCAATGACCCATGAAACGATGCACATTTCTTCAAACTTCGCATACCGAATTGAAATAGATTAAAACTTTAATTGAAAAATCGCGATAGATATAAACGAGCAGAAAAATAATAAAAGCAATTTTGCTTGACGTTTACGAAAGAATTTGTCGACGAGTCCAGTCGCATACCCTATGAACAGACATTCGCAAACGTATAAATAACAACGAGAGGAAGGATAGAGTCAATTTATAATCGTTTACTTTTTACGAGAACACTGAAAATGCTTTCCACTGACACACTGTCGAAGTTCATTACATTACAAATGTCTAGGAGAATTACTTTCGTTCTCTCGACGACGCTATTTTTAGGATTCTCGAGGCGCGATACGGGTGGTATAACGGTATATGACGAACTAACTGAAACACGTTGGAGGTGAACTTCGCGAAATACATGCCGATCGAGAACTAATCAATTAATGCAACGAGCACCCATGATTGAATAACCAGAACCGAACTGCTTTGGAAACGATGCAGCAGTTTCATTCTTGAATCAACCGCGTTAGAAATTACACCCGTTTGCAATCGTGGTTTAATTTTAGACAGCCCCACAAGCCGGTTTTCACTGATGTTACCGAACGCGATGACACTGGCGTATACAAGCTCTGCCGATCACGTATCGCGAGCAGACTGTAGAAAACGCTACCATGCTACCTTTGCGTGAAACTGGGGAAAATAGTTTCCGGTAACCGCGAGGGACTCGAAGAATCGTACATGTAGTTGTATCGTCGGTAGTGGAACCAGGGAAAATCGATTCGGCCGTGCCCGTTTGAGCACTGCGCGCCTCTCAAGTGTACGAACCACCGCGATAAAAGCAGTCACAAGCCGCGTGGAACGATCGTTTCGACTTTCGAGATGCGTAAGTAACGTAGGTACACTCGAACACTTGTGAACCATCAAAAACTGCTCTTAAACAGATCTGGGAACATTATGTACCGAGACGAGAAAAGGAATAACCGTCGAACACCGTAATAAATACGTGGTCTCTAAAAACCAGAACTGTAAATGTCGTTTGAAAGAAACGTATTGTTTTCTTTTTTTTCTGACCCCCTCTTGTTAAACGAGGTAAAAGGTACACTGCCTAGGGACTGAAACAGAGTACGTCAAAACGAGAGAGTGGGAGACACGGAAGAAGTTCTTACGCGGTGAATACGCGAGGCGTGTTTAATAATTTTGGAATAAGTATAGCGACGAATGTGAGAAACAACAAGCTTCGCGTCAGTCTAAAGAGGCAAGCGGTTGTAATTTGAAACGACAATAATTCTTTGCATATATAGAATGGATTAGATCAAAACAATTAAGATATTTTTTGTTAAAAAGGAGGTCATACAATGAGATCACTTCTAAAAATATTCAATCGAAAAACAAAAATGAACGAACACGTTTGATATATTATGAGAATACGTGACCGATAGCCATCGACCCTTCGAATTTTTCTAAAACAGACTATTACCCGTCACTGGGTATACGTATCGACTATGCCGGTTTTAGTTTCTTACTTGTTATACAATTATACATTGCATTCAAGAACTAATATTTCGAAGCCTTTTTTAAAGCTTTGCTTGCCTCTATGTTCATGACTTAACGTAATATTCACGATCTATACGAATCAGTCAACTTGTCGAATAGCTGCTTCGTAACCGAATCCTGATGCATCGAAAAATGACGCGACTAACCAGAGAGCTATAGGGTGTTGTGGCGATACTTAGGATTCCCGAATACCAACCACAGGATACCGAGGCACTTTTCCCATTAAATGTTTTTTCACTGTCAAATCACACGACGTTCCGTCATTTTTTATACATTTGCTCTTGCGCGAACCGAACCATATACATATATGTATATATATGTGTATGTGTGTGTTATTCGAAAGGATTCCGTCTGTCTAAAAAAGTTCCGAGCTTAACGCGACCGCCCTCCTGGAAACTCCGTACGGCTTTGATCGGTTTTATAACTTCGATGGCGACGGGTGCGCTCGAAGCGACGCCTAGTGATCACGTTCCAGATACGCTAGCTACCCCCTCCTTCCAATTGAGCTTCCCGATTACCGCCACGGTGACCAGATCACAGAGTATACAAGAAATTTGATATTTTGTTAATGCAACAGCATTGACAAAATACCTTAATTTATATTATGATAAATCGTGAATCACGTCATTGTACCGCATATAAAATTTATAATTAAACATATTTTGTATGTTATCTTAAAGATAGAAAATAAATCAGACGTATCCTTCTTTTTGTTTTTATCCATTATGAACATTTTTCGTATTTAATAAATTAACAATTTTTTATTTCATAATACGAACCTGTAATTTTTTATTTGTTTCGATGCTAAACCACTTACGTGCTTTATAAAATTCCAATAAATATTTTCAATTAATAGACATTGGAAAAATGAATAATTCAGGGTACACACACACATTTTTAGTACAATATTATATTTCGAAAAATTTGATATAAAAGTTGTTCGTATTGTTTTGTTTAGAAGATAATAAACTCAACAATCACGACATTGTTACAACAATGAGATTTGTTTTCGTTCCTTATAATATTATTTTTATGCTTATAATTTTAATACTCAATCTATTAGTAAAAACACATTTTCTCCTGTAACTATGTATAAGATAAACTAAATTTTTCCGAAAATAAACATTATCGTATCGTTTGAAATAATGAACTCTTCCGTAGTTATATTCCACCTGTTTATGTAATGTAATATAAAGTACGATTAACTATATAAATCTTTATGTGAGTATATTTTAAATATTTTTCACATGTGAAATGAAATGAGTATATACGTACCATAAACACGTGTATAATAAAATAAATTATTATTCTCGTTCAAAGATTACATTACTTATAATACATCTCATATTTGACATTATACATAATAAAATGTATAACAATTACATGGATTAGTATATCTTTATGTAAAACAGTTATATTCGGAGTACTTAAACATTTACTTATGTTAGCACTTCTCATTTTAAAAAAATAATTACAAAAATGCAGAAAAAATATATTTCGTAATACAATAACTATTTTTTAATTTAAAGTATAGATCACATTAATTGTAGTAGTATTGCCATCAGAAATGTTAAACAGTTATAAATCATTTCATAACAAAGTAACTACCTTAGGAATGTAAAAATTTGGTCAGTGAAATATAGTTACATACTTAACTATATCCCATTTGTTATACTGTAAGTATATTACTATTTTAATTTATTATATTTCAAACAAAATAATTCAAGTATATTTTAAACAAAAATTACATTATCACAATAATAATTTACTTGATATACTATAAATTTTATATACAAACGTTTTATTTTTATATTAATGAATTATTTAATCATATTTTTATTATTTAGTTATTGTATATAATGCATAATGTTGAAATCATAAAAATCAAAGTAACTGCTAATTAATGGTGCTTAAAAAGCAGAGTATTAAAAAATAATAATATATATTGACAAATCAAATTAGTGGATTCTTTATAAAGAAGAAACGTCTATAACATTAATTAATAAATGTCAAAATTAGTAATTTTGTAATTTGCCTACAATTTATTAAAAAAATTTACTCATCTGTGTCATCGATACATCATACGAAAATTTTTCCGATTTATTTAAGAAAAGATCTTATATATAACCCATAATATATTATTGAATAGGTACACGTGTTCAAACTACGTATTTCTGATGAAAAACTATAATTTTAATAAATGAAACATCATTTTGCAGTAAATATTTTATACTCAAAATAAAACAGTAAAAGCTAAGATCTATTAGAACTTATATACTTTAGAAAATAAAAATCAGATAGTATCATAATATTAAGAGCATTGTATATCCTTTATTTATTTTATACTTTATAATGTTTATACCTACATTTGTATTTTCTCATTCACTTATTCATATTATTTGTAATAATATTACTTTGTGCACTCAACAATAGTAACATTCCTCCTATGTATAGTACAATACATGTGTTATACAAATTGTACATTTTTTAACAGTAAATAAGAATATACACAACAAAGTATAATTATATCAGAAAAATAATATTATTTTTTATTTATGTAATATGAGAACATCAAAACAATTATACTGTTAAACTCATATACAAAAACGCTATAAAGGATTATAAATCTTGTGACAACTCACTTCCTTCATATAATTACTTTTTATACATTAAACTAATCATTTTAGCTCTCTGGTTCAATGTTTCTTTTAGTAAAAATTCCTTCAGTATGTTTTTTCTTATGTACTTTTGATATATGTCTTGATAAAATGAATTTACTGTTATATGTTTTTTTACATGTATGGCATGGAAAACCAAGCCCATAATGATATGCTTCATGTCTGAACTTCATAGTGTCAGTGCAGTATTTTCCACAAATAGTACAGGTAGGTAGGTTATGATCTGTTTCAAAATGTAATTTTCTACACGCAGCACTAGAAAAACGTTTCTGACATTTATAACATTGATATGGCACTACGGAATCATAATGTTTGAGTTTAATATGTTGATCAAATTTTACATAACAATTGAATACAGCACTACAATAATGACAGCTTATTTCAAATAATGGATCAACATATACCCCCCCTTTTGTAATGGAACACTTATGTTTGTGCCATCCAATGATATTATGGAAATTTTCTTTGCAATATCCACACATTAATTGTGCACTTTTGTGATGTTCATTAATGTGAATATCAAGAGCTTCTTTAGAGTCATAGATATTCCCACATAAGCAAATATTATTGTTACTATTTATTTTGAGCATAGTATCATTACAGTTTTCGTGTTCCTCTTCAGCGACAACATTTTTGCATGAAAAATTTGAATTAGAATTATTTTGTTCTACTTTTTTTTCTTGCATTTGATCATCTTTTTTAAAGTCATTTATCATTTCATTTGTGATAAGCTTATCACAAATATTGTTATTAAATAAATTATTTTGTGAATCTTCTTCAATGTCAACATCAACATCTTCGTCGACAAATTGAATTCTTAAAATACTATGATTTTCACTATATTTAGATGATTCTACAATATACTGTTGATCCTGTGAATCTACTTCAGTATCATCTTCTGACATATCCGATACTTCATTAATATTTCTGGAATCACTGGAACTCTGCAACTTATTTTCATCACCAATATCTTTACCAACAACTTCATAAGAATTATTCTTTTTTTTTATTGTTATACTAATCCCAACTCCAGAGTCTTTGTCACATCTATTTTGCATAGCACTCATATCTAATTTACTGTTTTTAGCAAGCTGTGTTTCTTTACTATTTGGAAAATGACACTTGGTTTTATGCATATACAATGTATGAGGATTACGAAATGATCTTCCACAAGAACAAGTAGTCTCTAGTTCCTTAAAATGGTTTTTCATGTAGGATCTTGTCATGTATGAACTTTGATTGTTACACATTTGCTTTTGCATTTTGGCCTTAAATAAATTTGTGTTTTCAGGAGACACATTGTTTGAATTTTCAGTTCCCTTGTGTCTTGAGCAGAATGGAGAATTCAAGTAATTGCAACTGAACAAATGGAAATTATTTTTCGTTTCTCCGCGAATACGGTGAATGCGCAAATGTTTCGAAAAACTTTTCGCTTTATAAATCCCATAACAAATATCACACTGACGTATACTTTTTTCCATCTCACCTTGTGTTTTAAAATTATTACCATCACTATCAAGTTTAGGTTTTTTCTTAAGATTTTCATGTGATATATTTGATTTTTCTTTTCTTTTCCTTTGGCAGGATACAAAATGTTTGTCTTGAATAATTCCATTGTTTTTCAAAGGTTCATTATTAACAGATATTTTGTTTAATTCTTTGACTTTTGGTGCAGCAGATGTTTTCTCTAATTCTTGTAACATTAAATTAGAACACTCAATTTTATGATAATCTGTTAAATGTTCTCTTATATTTTTAACAAGCTGCTTACATAATACACATTGTTGTGAAACTAAGTCATTTTGCAAAACAGTTGATTTTTCATTCTGCTTCAATTCCTTATGCATTGTTCCTTTTTCATCTTTTTTTATGTTTTCATTACCATCAATATTATTACTAGCAGGTATGAAAACATTTTTCTTTTTTTTTTGTAACTGAACATTTGAAGCAGATGGGCTTTTACATTCAGTTTCATTTGATGGCACACTTTGTGGTAAAGAGTCAGTAACTAATCTAGTTTCATGTTTTTTTGACTGTGACGTACGTTTTGGTGGTATATAAATACCATGTATTCTGTCTGAATGAGATCTCAATGATCGATTTGTTGTATATAGCTTTCCACATGTTGAACAATGAAATAATTTTTGTGTAGTTTTGATGGAAAATTTAAAATTTGGTAGTGCAGTATTGTTATTGCCTAATACTGGTTGGTATTTAATATATAAAGATTCTGAATTTGTGATGTTTGATGACAATTCATTAAAAGTACCTAAACTATTACTACCTTGTACATCTTTTATTAATTTTAATGTTTCCCATATTTTATCGCACTTTTCAAGTAAAACAATGGGATCCTTTACCTTATAAGGTGTAGTAAAAGGAATTGGTGATGTAATAATTCCATTCTAAAATTTAAAAAAACATATATATGTAAACGTATGTTGTATATTACCCAATAAATCTTATATTGAAATAAAATTTTTAATTTAACATTTATTTTATTTCAATTTTTTGTGTGACTATGATATCCCAAATATGATTTTAACTAAGCCTTATTACTGATGTTTGTATATATATATATATATAAAACATTATACAAATTTTTAATTACTTGTAGGTCAGTGTAGTTTCCTTAAATTAGTTTTTTAAACGACTAGTTTTATACTATTTTAAATAATATGTAGAATTTAATTATTGAATTTAATATAAATTGCATAAAACTGATAAAATATTTACTATATTATATTTATTTATTAACACATAATGGATATGAAAATGTGGAATACCAATGTTTCTTATAAGTAAACTTTAGTTTATACAATTTTTATATATTTATATATATTTATTTAAATGAATACTCTAACAGAAAACATTTGTTTTTATTCATAATATCATTCTACATAAAAATTATGTTTTTATGAGCTGTTAAGCATCTTAAAATGTACGCGAGTTTAAAATTCCCGCCATAAAAAGCTGAAAAGTAAATAGATTTTCCCTCCTATTTCTATTTGGACAATGAACACGACTTATATAAATACAAAATTGATATTTTTAATTTATACTATCATAACTAATTTAATAATATTATTATATTTCTAAATAAACATACATGTAAAGCTAATAATAAATAAAAACAATAAATTTAACATAGCATATTAAACTTAATTTAATTTAAATGTCGTAAAAAATATGTTAAAAGACTTTAAAAAAACTAAAAAATAGAACATAATAGAATCATAAACAAATTATACTTACAGTGTCTGATGTACCTTCACTGAAATCCGATTCACTATAACAACAAGGTTCTACTTTAGGTATAGACACACTGATGGTGCATGCCATCTGTTCAGGCTGTTGTATCGTTGTATCTTTGTTATAATCCACATGTTCTTGAGTAGGAGACGCATTACTGAACATTTTAATTAGAGACGCGGGAGAACAAGACCTGAATATAATTTCAAATTCAATATATTTTGAATATAGCAGTACGCAAACTGAGGAAACGAAGTCGACATTTTGCGTCTGCTCTACTATTTTGATTGCTTCTACTCCCTTCCCCCTAAAAAACTTTCCTTTAAGGCTGCTTCACATTACCCGTCAACCATCCGTGAAGACATTCTTTAAAAAGACTATCAAATGAAATTGGACGGAATGACATGTAAATATGTACTTCATACAAAACTCATTAAAGAATGTTTCGTGGATAGTCACCTTATAAATTCTGTGAATCAACCCTTACATTCTAGATCGTACCTATCCATCTACAACGAACTTCATCTAGCAATCCAAACAATATTTTAGATCACAATCAGTATCGAATATAATACTAACACAATAAGTACTATTTCTGAACATTGCTAACAATTTTGTTTGAAAATTGCACTTTTGAAATAAATTAAGACTAAACAACTGATTTGAAAAAGTCCAAACACCTAAATATAGGTATCATTGGTGAGGATCGTCACAAACGGTACTTTCTCATAGTAGCCTAGGCATGAGATAATCCGAGACATTCAATGACTGCTAATATATCTATCCTCATTTGAAGAATTAATAAATAATTGGAAAAACAGTTTATACCCTAACGTAATATTTATGATAAGAAGGCATGTGTGTAGAATAATACGACTTGCTAACACATACACTTGTACGTGGCTAACGGAAAAAATGATAGTCATTTCTACATAGTAAACATGGATATATCGAAACTTAATTTTAATTTTTCACATAGAAGAATATATTGTGATAGTTGATAATTTTAACTAACAAAATTAAAGTGTTTTGTACGAAAACATCAACTATGTTCTGTTTGACTGCTCAATGAAAGATGCGTTCAACAAAGGTGGCGCAAAACATTCGAGTATGAACAAGTTAGTTTGATACTTTATCCAGCCATTTATTTATCATTCGTTGAACAATTTTATTTACACTTTTCCGAATTCATTATAAGTCTATGACAAATCAGTCGTTAGGTCAGTATATGACCGAAATGTAAACAAGAGAAATTAGATACCTCTGATTGTATCAACGAGAATTTTGTATCATGCTATGAAATATCAGAAATGTGACAAGGTTGTGATGAGTCACTGATGACTAATATGTACTTTATGAAGGGATCTTATGAACATTTGTCCGCCACTGTTCTATCATGTGACCCTACCCAATAAAACCTAACTGGGAGAGTCCATGTTGAACGATCGACAATATTTTTGAGATTATCTTCTAAAATATAAGTCTGTTTGCATAGATAATTCTTGTACGAAATCGTCCGGCGATATTAAACATGTAAACACGCAAAACCCTTCAACAGATATTTATTTTATACGTTATAAAACAATTTCTCTGTACCTTGCTTCCCATCAGCGTTAGGTTGCGTTACAATGCCACAAATGCCTCGCGAAAGTAAGAATTTCTAACCTATCGGCAACACGAAGGATTTTGTAGAAAGTAACAGTAAATCTACCTTATTTCTAGCTTTTAGATCTATTTAGGCGTTTCAATACGTTAGTTTTGTATAACTTATGTACTCACATTGACTATCAGATGTAAAGCCAACAATCCAACTGCATTCAGTCGTTTGGCATGGTACCTTAGGTGCTGACTTCTCAAGAGTATGTGCACAATAACATGTTGTTCCAAGCTATAGTAATGTTTATTCGATTAAAGAGCACTTGGAGACTTGCTTTGAACTATACAAAAGCCACAAATCTTCAAAAGAAGAAAATTCGAAGAGAATTTTCTGAGCGTGTCGCATTGGACGAATCCACTCCTATATGTGACTCAAGTTAGTCCGCCTGCCCAAGCAGTCTCGAGGCTGCGTCCGAGCCAGATAGTTACGAGGTTACTCAATACTTTTCGTAGATGACTTTTAAATGCCAATTCTTTCAATAAATCAACTGTACTAAGTTAGAAGACTTTCAAACTCCAATTTCTAGGACACTGTCTACCTCATGTAGATGATAGTTTAAAAGCAAATGTATACAAATACTCGGGCTTACGTTCGTACGTTTTATGAAAATCCACATCCAAGTCATGCAATTGATGGAGTGGTATATTGAAACAATATTTAGGTATCAATAGGTATCCAAAATTTATTTAGGCATGTAGGAGTAGTCCTAAAGGTGTGAATAGATAGTATTTATTTCGACAAAATATTGATAGCAGTAGGTATACGTATCTAAACAATACATGGGTCTACTTTGGAACAAGAAAAAAGAAAGAATAAAATACTCGTTCCATTACTTGAAGATAAAAATAACTCAGTAACCTACATACAAGTGTCGTTGCTGAATTCAACTAACGATTCACTCATCTCCAAATAACAATAGTGTAAAAAATATACACCAATACATGAAAAATTAGCGTATTATTACGTTAAAGGATGAGATCAATATATCTGGGTGATACTTGTCTTTGCGACACTGGCGCTACGAACATATCCTGCAATGGCGATAGTCGGCTGATAAATTAAAACAATAATGTAATAAATATGAAAAATACATTCCTAACTACTTATTTTATCCAACATACATCTTTGCTAAATTTATGTAATATATGTAGAAATCGAGTTACATCATAATGTTACGTTCAGTTCAGGATGAGAACTACCGACTTCGACGTGATACCTGCACTTAACAAGTGTAGTATTACAAGTATCAACTAAAAGTGTATAAATTTTACACGAACGACATTATTAAGACTATAGTAGTTGAAGTTACAGCAATTTAGAATCTTTATTTATTCTCTAATCGTTAATACCTAATTGTTCTTAAAACCATTATGATGTACAATGGAATAAATATTATAACATTTCACTTTAAAAATTAACTCGTAGGTCTTTGTACCCATTAACAAATGCATTCTTGCAACACCTTCAACAAAATACTGGTCAATCAACTTCAGTCAAATCCAAATTTATTGACCACAATATTCTCTCCTGAAAACTATATTGTATTCTAAACATGTCCTTACCAAGTTTCTATTATAATTTCCTCATCATGTTGATTTACCTATATAATAATCTTATCGTCAGAATCAGGATAGACAAGGTCACCAATGCTGAATAGCAGTATTGTAGTGAGTTTCCTCGATTCTCGATAAAATTGTTTTTCTAATGAGCATTCGTTTCCGGCGGAGTATATATAAAGACGAATATTTCTTCACAGAGGTCAGTATTTATTGGAAAAAAATGCAACTCTATACCATCTTGTTACTATTTGTTAGTTGCAAGCTTTCTACATCAATGGGAGTTTACAACCAAGGTGTTTTATTAGTATTATTCTCGTTTATACAAAATTCTGATTTCAACAAACCATGACACTGTGTTTAAATAATAAATAGTCGTATTTCCGAAAATTCATACACAAAGGTTTTCCATATTTAAATGGCAACAATTAGATCTGATGACATAGTGAAACTTTGCCTTTTAATATCTAAACCTTTTACCAATTTGTAACGTATAAGTACTTCAATAACATGAGGAGTATATTCACACGTTACGTTACTAAGTTTATTTAATAACCATCTTTACCTTTGTTGTTGCAAACCTAAACTACGTTAACTTACGAACTACTATGTTGGTATATTTCTTTTACTTCATATTGTATTATTGCAAGTGATATCACATATATTTCATTACAACTTTCTGATTATTTGTACTATTTCGCGACAATTTTTTATACTAATAGCACAGTGTTATATTGCTAACTGTCGCGGGCTCAACCAAGCAGCGACTATGAAGTTGGGAGGTAAGTGATGTTCCGAGAATCGAGTCCATCGAGAATGAGAGTTAGATAGTAAGAATAACTCGCAATATTTAATGAGGTAGAAAGAATAACATAAAGTTGTCCATACAGCTATGTAAAATATGAATAAAATATATGGTTTCTAATAAAAAATATTAAACCAGTACAAAAACCCATGAACCACAATAACTATGGCTTCGTATTGCAGGAAATAGTAAATTACACTCAAATTTTCAAAGAAGTGAACTTTTCCACAAAATAGGAGATTGGTTTATTGATCTGAAGAATCAACTTTATCAAAAATTGTATGGACAAACAACTACCACGACCCCTGCTACTTTGTCAACAGAAGTGTTAGATTTGAATAAATTGCAATTGGAAACCAGATTAAGAAATCGTGAATGGCATCAAATAGATTTATGTAAATACAAAATTTTTATTGAAACATTAAAACCATCACTTTTCATCTCAAATATTGTATTAGACTTAGTCTTAAATATAATTAATGGATATTACAACATTTTTAAGTCAGTAGTTATTAATAATATGAGGTTTTACAAAAAATGTATTAAGTTGTATTCTTTGTAATGTACAGCTACCCTATCTTTTAATCCTGATGAAGATTGGGGATTTCGCGTTGGTAACTGGTATTTTATCCGAAAAAGATTAGAAGGTCACAACGGATTTGAGAAGAATAATTCGATTGAATCGGATTTTCACCTTCAGAGTACTATCCAACCAACAAATCCAACTGAAGTAGAAACCAAAGGGACCTCTGATCATCATACAAATAGTTTAGAAATTACGGAATCTTCACAAATCATATCGCCTACAACTGTATCCATGATACATGATATGGGACAACTCACAACGCAAGAAACAACGATACAAACTAGTACGCAAGTCGATACATCGGTGAATTCTTTATTAGTAACAGAAATACTGTTGGACAAAAATGAAGAAACCAATATTGATTCTGTTCATAAAGGATCTGTAGAAGTTTTAATGGACTAACAATATCTGTAAAAATAATAGCGTTATATAACTTCTTTAAATTTCATATTTTTATTAAAATTTTCTGTTTATATTAAGAACACTTTCAATTTTTGTATCAAAATAAACATTTTTGTTACGAGGCTAAATAAATTTACAAATTTGTAAATTACTTTCATACCGAATGATATTCGACACGTGATGTATCAACGCGAGGTATAAAAAAAAGTACTATGATAATAGTTTTTTCTTTTTTTTTTTTATCAAGAAGAGTACACGTTTATTACGTAAAACTTATCATAATCATCATTTTTTGGTAATAAATTATTATAATAATTTTTACGTCGATGTTAAACAAATCGTGGTCTCCATGATGTCTGGCGGTTTTACTGTAATACAAAACACGAAAAAGAAAAATATCAGTAAAATATTGAACTTTTAATACCAACTAAGATTACACTCAACATGCACACAAGTATTTTATACCTACAAAATATACCAAACATAGAACAAATACATATAATGTGAAGTAAAGAAAGTACAATAGAAGATGAAATGTGCTTATTTTCTTTGATCTCATAAGCAGGGTAGTATTGTATTAAAGTAAAATATGAAGCAGTCAGAATTAGTTAAAGGATTTTCAGTTCCATATGAAGTAACGAATTGTTTGAATATTTATCTACAATGTTAGCCCATATATCATATTACTAAAAGGAATGTACAACTTGTACGACTATTACATAATATTTATGTGGCGGCTGATTATATTATTCTGCACAAAGTGTTTTGTAATGAATAGAACTAAAAGGAAGATAAATCTACATGCAAAAATAATCCAGGAACCTAAAATAACATTTTTTGTATTAGGGTTCGTTTTTAAAAAAAGTTGATTTTGAAAATATGTAACTTATATCCTGGCTTGGTTGGTAAATTTCTGTTTTACAAATTAATCTCAATTACGTCTCTATCGTGTTTATATGCAAAGTGTGCAACATCATTTATTACAAAATAGTATTATTAATTATAAATTATTACTTATGCACAATGTATATAAACATAAGACACCTGTTACAAGATTCATTAGCAGTATTTAATGTTAGAATGCACCTGTAATCCAAATAATTTCAAATCAACTTTTTTAAAAATGTTTTTTGAAGACTCCTAAAGAAAAAGTTTCATTATACATTTACGATTTATTTCTATACGTATAATCGCCTTGAATATAATTGTACCACTCATTGTGGGGCATTGTCTATAAATGATAAATGTTAATAAAAATCTCAATATATAATCGTGTATATGCTTAATTTTTTCACTTAGAAAAATCAACACATGTGAGTAAATAAAAGACAGTAAATGGATTAAAGATATATAACTCCAATAAGTTAAATATTATGCATTGAAGGAAATAAATTCGTGTTTCGAAAAATATTTCATATTATACGAAAATCACAATGCACAATGTATTTAATTAAAATTAAAGGAAAGGAAAAGTGAGGAAAGCTAATTGCAAACAGGGAAAAGAAACTTAGAAGTTTGCATGCTGACCATGTATGAGCATCATAATTAAGTTCCTTCTTGAGGCTTGTAGTACAAATGATGAGCATTTGTCTACTTCCTTCCCTAGAATATAAATAAAAAGCGTATACCACTGTATAACATGCATTATAGAAAAAACATAGATATGGTATGATACTGTCCATGTTATGTAAAATATAATAAAATCATATTAATCATTCGCATATCCAGTCAGTGTTTAAAAATTTTATTTTGTTATCAGAAAATCAAAACAGCAGCATTCGACTGCTGCTTTGATTTGAGAAGTTAATTTGATTTATTTTTATTCAATTGTAACTTAAAAAGCAATACAAATTAAAGGAATTAAAACTACTGGATATGTTTCAATATTTAACCTTAATATGTAAAATTCTTTATATCTGGTTATATGCTTAAAATATCATTAAAAAGAAAATCTTAAAACTATTAACCACTATCTTTGCATTAACCTGAGCAATGTCATTGCCCAATAATCAAATAAAATCATGCTCATTGACTAACAAATTGAAGAATCAAATAAAAGCAGGAATATGAATATTAGCATAGAAATGTTTAAATATATTTTTGTAACTGTTTTTAAATATATAAAAAATGCGATAATAAAATATATATTACTATAAGAAGCTAAGCAAGTGGTGGCTAAAGAAATTTACATAGAACTTTATATTCAGTCGTTATATTTTCATTCAGTTATTCAAGCATTGCTGTATAAAGTAAATATTAATTATTTACTAATAATTTATTAACAGGTAATGAATATTTAGAAGCAATATATCAGTTATACATCTTTAAATGTCTATTGATATTTATATTAATGATGATAAAAGGAAGAAAACATGTAAGAAAAGAACCATCACCAATGAATGCATAACCCACCTCCAAATTACCAGTTTAATAAAAAATATTATTTTGTTTGGTAATACAGTAGTGTCCACTTAAGTGACCACGCTCGGGACCGGCCGCGGTCATTTATGTGGGCATGGTTAATTCTCAGAATTCAACGGAGATAAGGAAAGAGGATATGTGCAAGTGAGATACAATAACTGGCATCCGAAACCATATAAACAATGTATTGACAACGACCGGCGTTAAGTTACGCTTGACATGCTCGATGTTCGAAGCCGCTTGTCTTCTAAGAATTGGTGGAGATAACCGCGGTCATTTAACTGGGCAAAAATGCGGTCACTGTGGGCATTACTGTATTATTTAAAAAAACATTGATTTTTACGTAAATTTAGAAAAGCTATCACATTTAAGTAGCATTATATGCAGTTAACAGTTGTTAAAAGTAGAAACAGTATTATCATACCTTTTTAGATGCAGCTCCTACTTTACTCTTCTTTGTACCTCTAACTTTCTTCATCCTATTCTTACGTTCTTTACGTTGTTTCCTTGTTTGCTTTTGTTTTTCAAATAGTCCATGCCTTGCTAACCTGTATTTGGGTTCAAATTTCTTAGCAAAGTCTAATGTATCGTAGACCAATGCAAATCCAGTAGATTTACCACCACCAAAGTTGGTTTGGAAACCAAAAACAAACACTACGTCAGGTGTAACTTTGTACATTTTAGCTAATTTTTCACGTATTTCAGTTTTACGGACTGATGGATGTCCTGGATGAAAGACATCTACAACCTAGAACAAAGCAGTATTGTTGAATGAATACAGAAATGTCTATAGAAACGAACAGATATGAAAATCGGAAAACGTGGATTTAATATAAGTTTGTACGAACACATACCATTTGTTTTCGGCATAATAGCCGATTACTCATGAACTTTCTAGTTCTAATTGTGGCTGTACCCTCCGTCTGTAAAAAAATAACAGGATTTCGAGGTTGTTTTGCTCAACATTATTAAATTATAATTATATTTTAAATAATTGCATTTAAAATAAATAAGAACACTTTATTTCGTAATATAATTTGCTTAGTGAGATCAACTACTTTTATTTACATTTTCACTGATATGTTAACAGCATGTATGTTGTTGGTTGGAACATTCATGTCATAATAATATAAATGATAAATGTTGATAAAAACAGTATTTGCAAATTATATTTGTAAAGGACAAATAATAACTCATCATTGATAAGATTTTTCGCAAATATTCTATATTTTCTTCAACGATTAATCAACAGTTTTGGGATACAAAATACATACCATTTTGCTTGATTATCGTACCGCCAGCAAAAGAACACCACCGGAAACATGTAGCGCTATCTACGGACGAGTTATTTTCTAACTAACATTTCTATGTTTAGTTAAAAAATAGTTCATTTTTATTTATACATGATTTTATAATTGAAATTTTAATATGTACATACGAGCAAACAATACTATATTGTGTAATAAGGTATTTGAAGCAATGCAACGAATCTTCAATGTAAAACGAAACAACGTAATATTCTTCTCAGTTAGGGATTTTAAGTATATAACTAAGAATTCTTAAAGTCATGTTTTAAATTAAATTAAATTATTATAATTGCTTTAAAGTAATGCTAACAATTATAACGTTCTTTTAATTTAGTTTCTTAATATATATGAATTCATGAAAGGTATAATGTTGCACACAACAAATACAGATATGTATTTTTAACTTCAATTGAATTATTAACAAAAGCATTTTCAAACGCTATTATGTCATAATAAATAATTCAAACTACTATTAAAATTTACAACACTTGTGTTATTTACATTTCAATATATTTGTCTGGTATAGAAATAAATAACTACAATTTGTTATCGATGGAGCAGAGGAACATATTTGTACGAAGTTCTTGGGAAGACCGTAATTGCATTTAGCGTTAGCTGCAGTGTTCCGTCTATCTGATTGGTTCTCTTCGGCGTAACGTCCATTACTCTTCTAGGAAGTTTCGAGAACGGGTACGGCCACTAATATTGGTGAGAATTCTATGCATTTATAACAGTTCGTCAAATACTAGTACGTGGAGCAAGACGAGCGTTTACGGCACGCGAATATTTCCCACGAGCGGTTTTCTTTCTGCTGATACAGGTAGGATTAAACGGCAATGTAATGATCATAAGAGTATATTAGAAAATGTGCGCAGGCGAATAAAATTTTCGTCATTGAACGATGCGATCGATTACGAGCTCGTGAATTTTTCTTAGGATAGGAATTTACGTAGCATTAGAATGTAAAGTCAAGTTATGATAGAACATTTGAAGACATTAAAGAGTGTATTAACGTGATTTCAACGTAGTTTCAATAATTTTCGAACTTGACGTGGACGTTTGAAGGTTGAATACTAGTTTTGTATATGCTTAAGCATATCGAATATTACGAAATACGAGTCAATTAATTGTGTTATTCTACTAGACTTCTGCGCGCCCGTGACTCGCACTTTAACGTTGAAAAATGGTGGATTCCATATTCTTTACTCGTGTCAATACGAAATGCGGTTGAAGTTGTAGTCTATATCTGTCACTTAGATACGAATAATATTACAATATCTGCTTCCATTTGTGCAATTTGAAATATAAATCCGTATTAATGTTCCGCTTGATATAATAATTATTCTGAAAATTTCTTTTCTTTCTCGTACTTGGTCTTAACCGGCAGCCAAACTTTCAATGTGGTATATTCATGTATGCATATATATACATGTAACGAAGGATCTAGAAAGTGTTAGTGTTCTTTGTTCATGATAAAATGAACAGTGCGTTATACCGAAACCACGTTTTAATTTTCTCTTCCGTATCAATTAGTAACATTTTCCTACATCAAAATGATCCCCGTCGCCATTTTGAAACCAAAGACGCACATGGATATAATGTACCAGATAGTTCTTCGAACAATTCGTAGGCTTTGAAGTTTAATATATCTATTACAAAATTTTCGTTTAACGTGAAACCACTTTAAAAATTTAACAAAATTACGACTATTTAGTAATTATAGTATGTCTCTAATACAGATGTATTATTATTAAAATTAGAAATACTTAAAATTCAAGGTCATTGTGTGCAATTCCATTTTTGAATCAAGTATATTGCGCATTTAAATATTGATAGAATCACAGATGACAAAGGAATTTTATCTGGGTATTTAATTCGAACATAACAAGCACAGTTTTAGAGTATATTAGATTTTGAAGTTTTTCCTGTCTTATAATGGAACAGTATTATTTAATGAAATTTTTAATTCAAACATGCAAAAGTGTTTGCTTAATAAAATCAGTACATGTATGTTTTGTGCATTACGAAGTCAAATAATGATTGGTTTCTCTGATAAAGTACCTTTTTCTGTTTACAAATCTATTTGCCATCATATTAGCCATAAAACATGTTCCTAATAAAAGAATTATACAGAAACAGAACTACAATTGCACTTGTTAGGATTGTTTGTATCAAAACTGCAAAAATAGCATGGTTGTGTTCCACTCAAACAATTGATAATAAATATTTATAAAACTGAAAAAAGTATTAATTTTACAGAAATAAGTAATGCCTTTTTTAGCAGCTATTGAATTTTTATTTAGAAATTACTATTAGATTTAAGTACCACTATTGATCTTTCAGCATAGAGAGCTGAGTACTGTTTGCATTATGTAAACTCAGATTAGTATTCTTTTCATGAAAGGGATCGATCAGATATGTTTCTAGTTTTATTACTTTTTGTAAAATGAAATAATCATCGCTTGATATGTCAGATATTTAAAACAAATCATTCATCAATGTTATATCCTTATGAAAAATTTCTATGTAAATAGAGTGTTTAAATATTATCTTACTAAGGATTTAATGTTCTGTTAACCAGAAAAGGTTTTGAATTTGAAAATTTGAAAACTTTAAAAACTGAGAATATATAGAGCAACTTTTTAAAACAAAGATACAAGAAAAAATTGTTCAAGTAAAGTCAAGGGTAGTAAAGGAAAGTGTTTAACTGTGTAATGTTCAGATTTTTTTATATTGATTGCCATATATAGTTTTCCCATAAATAATATAAATATTTGAAAATTTTATGCTGTATGTAGGGGAATATCTTGACAAATAATAAGCTATTGTTTGATTGATCAAATTTATTCTTAAAGGAGTAGAACAAATTCTGAGAGCATTGAGCTATTTTTTGTTTTCATTTTATTCTTTGCAAATAATGAAAAATGCTTCTTTCATGTAAACTTATTGTTTCATTAAAAATGCCCATTATATATGTTTAAAGTTTTATAAGTTTTTGAAGTTTTGAGTTTATGACCTTTTATGAGTCTAAAGTCAGAGGTCAAGATTATATAAGCATCTTTGTGTGACCAGTATTTATACTAAAATTTAAAATCATAATAAAGTAAGTATTAAATTTGTTTATTATTAGCAGGGGTAGTACTAACGTAACAATAGCAAATCAGTTTGAGCAGTGAAAAATAAGTTATATTGAAAATGGTGAAGGAAACAACATATTATGATGTGTTGGGTGTGAAACCTGGGTGTACGCAAGAAGATTTAAAAAAGGCTTATAGGAAACTTGCTCTGAAGTTTCATCCTGATAAGAATCCTAATGAAGGAGAAAGAGTTAGTATTACATTCTTTTAAATGCAATATATTAATTAATTATTATTAAAGGATTAGTAAGCATTATTTTTATTGCAGTTTAAACAAATCTCACAAGCATATGAAGTATTATCGAATCCTGAAAAGAAGAGAATTTATGATCAGGGTGGAGAACAAGCTTTGAAAGAAGGTGGCGGCGGAAGCGGCGTATTCTCTTCGCCCATGGATATCTTTGACATGTTCTTTGGACCAGGTTTTGGTGAAAGAGGCAGAAGGAGGGAACGCAAAGGTCAAGATGTTATACATCAGTTGTCTGTTTCGCTAGAGGAACTATATAAGGGCACTCTTCGCAAATTAGCTTTGCAGAAGAATGTTATTTGTGATAAATGCGAAGGTAGATATTATTTAGCAACATTTATTGAAAATCTTGTTTAAAATGCGAAATTATATTTGTTTAGAAGCAATCGATATTAATTGTTTATTCTTTGTTAATTATTTGTGTATAGGTATCGGTGGTAAGAAAGGCTCTGTGGAACAATGTTCAACATGTCACGGATCTGGTATGCAAGTTCAAATTCAGCAACTAGGACCAGGAATGTTGCAACATCTGCAGACTATGTGCGGAGACTGCAAAGGTCAAGGAGAACGTATAAATCCACGTGACCGTTGTAAACAATGTGGTGGCAGGAAGACTATTAGAGATAGAAAAATTTTGGAAGTACACGTTGATCCAGGCATGGTAGATGGACAGAAGATTGTTTTTAGCGGAGAAGGCGATCAAGAGCCTGACTATGAGGCGGGAGATATTGTTATTCTTCTAGAAGAGAAGGAGCACGATGTTTTCAAGTAAGTATTATAGTGATCATCTTAATAATATAGTAGTATGTTTTGTGTATTTACTGTTGTACTATTTTAGGCGTACGCGCAACGATTTGATCATGAGAATGCAACTAGAACTCGTAGAAGCCCTATGCGGATTCCAAAAGGTTATTCGTACTTTAGATGGAAGGGATTTAGTAATAACTTCACTTCCTGGAACCGTTACAAAACACGGAGACTTCAAATGTATTTTGAACGAAGGAATGCCGATGTACAAAGATCCTTTTACGCATGGCAGGCTTATAATTCAATTTGTAGTAAATTTCCCGAAAACTATTGACCCCTCTGTTATTCCAATGCTTGAACAATGTCTACCTCCAAGGGAAGAGGTTATGATTCCAGAGAGTGCAGAGGAATGTATACTTACGGATTTAGATCCAGAACAGGAAGCAAGGCGAAGAGATCAACGACAGGCGTACGAAGAAGACGAAGGAGGTCCCTCGCGAGTCCAATGTGCCACACATTAATTTGATTACATCAATGTCAATAAATATGGTCATTCTTTCATTTTAAACTTTTGTCCCATTCGCTCGATTCTGAATCGTATCGTATGTATTAACAGAAGGAAAGAATGCGGACATATAGAAAAGTTCTTCAAGACGAATGAAATGAATCTGGGAGAAATATCTACATATGTGCACGACTGTGAAAACCATAAGGAATCACATTAATGATTTTATTGCAAGGATCACACTCCAACACCGAACTGTATAGAAAGTCCGTTGATACAGTCGACGATACATTTATCATCACGCCTGAATTAAACTAAATTTTGGTGAAAATTAGTAAACTAATTATAATTAGTTAATCGCTTGCTGTAGAAAAGTATTAAAAGAAAGATGGTACTTATCATTAAACGGAGTGATAAGGAAAGGTGAACATCTAACGCGACATTATGTAACGTTAGTACTAACCGCAAACATAATCAATTGTATCATCTAATGATGAACATTCGGGTGACATTCTGCTACTTGTGAAATTATTTCTTTATAATTAATAATTAGCAGTTTTCAACACTGATCAATATGTGCATATTGAATGCTAAAAATAAAGTTAGACAGTCGAACGAAACTAGTACCTTGTTTATATTTGTGATTCCCTAAAGTTTCGCTAAATTATTAGCATTTGATTATGCGGGCTTCTTAAATTTAGCTCAGTGTCTATATTAGTAATGTAATGATTATGAAAATAGTATGGAAAATGTTTACGAACACGCAATTGCAAAGAATGAAAATTAACAATGCCTTTCGTATACTTTATTACAGATCTCTAGATTGTTTTTCCTTTAAATTACGTTATTCCATTACATATAGTGTTTAATTTGGTTGTTTAGGGGCTATTGATAAATGCACATTTCGATATTGATAATTGCACGTTTCGATATTGATACAAATATTTTAAGTTTATGTTCATCAATAGTACAATATACAAAAGAAAAATGTGGTTCCTGTGTGTGTGAATAGACTGCTGCGCGTATTCAGAATTACTGTTTATTGCAATAAAAAAGACGTTCCAGTATACAATTATAATTCTAATGCTGGAATTGAAAGTAAAAAAATTGATTAATTTTTTTGAAATTCTATTTACTAATATTTACGTGAGGCTGCTTTTGTATAACATCTCTAAATGAACGTGTTTTGTCTGTTCATTTATAACAAAACTAGTAATGCGCATGAACAAATGTCCTTTTTAATGATCGTAAATCTGTACTGTATTAAATTAAATACGTCTTCGATACATTCGCATAATTTACTGTACACGAGGTGATGTACTCGCTCGCAATTACTATAGCGAATTTAAATAGACGTGTATTGTAATCTTATTTATTATAGGTAAATTGGTGATCGATTAGTACTTTTTTGAATCGTCTCAAATAAATCAGAAAAAAATGTAATGTGAAATACGTCAAAAAGTTCATTTTTGTCGTTTGTTTCACCTTTGACCCTTTATGTCCATGTTGCGTTCCTCATTATTGGTTCATAATCGCTAACGGAATAATTTTCTCTTAAAATTGAAAATTTTATTTTAAATTTACTGAAAAATATTTTAAATAGTAGTTTCTGGTCGTTACGGTCGTTATTTTACGGTATTTCACATAGAAAAAAGAATATTTGAAATTGGAAAAAAAAGAGAAGATTTATTACGACATGCACACTTGAACCAAATACGTATCCAAATATAATTGGTGTCGTTCATGAGAGATACAATGTTAACGTGCCTTTGAGTTACGTAGAATTGCCTAACGATGGCGATATAATCGCAGCAAGGGTCGATGTTTTTGTAACGTGCGTATATGAGTGCCCGAAAGCCAGCAGTCGAGATGCCGCAAAGGTTTCTGGGTATGCGGAGGGAGCCATATTTTTCCAATATCAGTTATGCGAAAACAGCGTACGCATAGCATCTGCAGAATGGAATTTCGTTCAGTAGCCTGCGTGGATTCTGTGTTTTACTAGAGGAATTGATTACGAAGCAGACGACAAGGGATCAGTGTAAGAAGACGAGACGACTGGGCTAGACAGAAAATAATAAGCGTGCGTTTCCACGCGATCAAGAACCGAGGTTCAGTGAAAACGATGAGCGCGGCCCGCGCAGGTGTTCGAGCCGAGAAGAGGGTTAGTTAACTTAACCCGAGTTCGTAACCGCGACCGGTGGTAGTGGTGGTAGTACTAGTGGTGGTGGTGGTGGAGGCAGTGGTGGTGGTGGTGGTGGTGGTGGTGGTGATGATGGTGGTGGTGGTGGTGCTACTGCTGCTGTGACGATGACACAGCGTCATAACACGACGTACGTCCGTCCGTGCGATTTAACGCGAGTTGTTATGGCAGTATAAAGTGTTTTTGTACCGAGAGTGCGTTCGCGCCATTACCGATCGAGCGTGTCGTGTCTCGGTCACGATTAACCTGTGCGTATTCAGTGTCAAAGGAGATGGCTTTCTTCTTTAGTGTGTGAACGAAGATTCGGAGTAGCATATTTTTGGAGTGACAGTGGCTCACGATGACATAATTAAGTTCCATTCATCGTTTCTTCGTTGAAAAGTGAGTGCTTATATGTGAAACGGAGTAAGCTGAACTGTGACCGCGAATAATGCGACGGGACCGTGGCAATGACACAACGACATCACCGTTGACTTTTTTTAAACGTTAAATATTTCTCATTTGCAAGTGTTGCGTTAATTTTGATCAAGGTCAATTCGTACGTTGCTCATCGGCGCCTGCAACGTTTGGAAAATTTCCTACTCGTGACTCCGGTTTTCTAGCGTAGCGTGCACGCATTACGAATAACAGCGTGTTCAAG